ATTGGTAATGTGTGCCTTCATTATACTGTAAACTCAGTAACAGTAGGGACAATATTTGATTTTTTACTAAATCAGCACTTGGCATAATTTCTTCATTCATTCAACAAATATTTGTTGAGTATCTATAATATGCCTGGTATTCTTTCAAATGCTGGGAATACTGCAGTGAACAGAACAGTTACTAGCAGAGTATATATTCTAGTTGAGGAAAAGTAAACAGGAAAGTAAAAGATGTAATCTGTAGGAGATGATAAATGCTAAAGAGAAAGATAAAATAGGGAAGAGTGTAGAGTTTGTTTATGCGTGGGCATTGCAATTTTAAATAGACAGGTAGTTAGAGAAACCTCCCTGAAGGAGAAACATTTGAATAAAGACTCAAGGAAGAAAGAGCAAGCCCTCCTGATATCTGGGGCAGAGCATGTCAAGTAGAGGGAACAGAAGAAAGTACAAAGACCCTGAATTCGGAAGGCATATGGCATTTTTCAGGAACAGTAAGTCCAGTGAAGGTGCAGCAGAGTGAGCAAGGAGAGTAGTAAGAGATAAGGTCAGAGAGGAGACAGGAGCCATGTAGTGTAAGGCTTTGTAGGCAATTGTAAGAACTTTTGCTTTAACTTTTGTGTGATAGTGAGGTGATCTGATTTACATTTTAATTGTATCCTTCTGACGTTTGCTTTGAGTATAGACTAAAGAGCACATGTGGAAATAATTACTAGGTTATTGCAGTAATCCAGACATCAATATCGGTGTCTTGGACTAGCATGGAAGCAACAGATAGTCAGATCTGGATATATCTTGAAAATAGAGTTGACAGAATTTTTTTTTTTAAATTGATGTGCTTTAAGTGAAAGTTTACAATTCATGTTAGTCTCTCATACAAACATTTATACGTACATTGTTATGTGACCCAAGGTGCTCCCCCTATACTGTGACAGCACACTGCTCGTTTCCACTCTGGATTTCCTCATGTCCATTCAGCCAGCTCCTGGACCCTCTCTGCCTTCTCATCTTGCCTCTGGACAGGAGCTGTCCATTTAGTCTCATGTATCTACTTGAGCTAAGAAGGACATTCATGAGTATCATTTTATGTCCCATAATCCAGTCTAATCTTTGTCTGAAGAGCTGGCCTCGGGAATGGTTTTAGTTTTGGGCTAACAGAGAGTCTGGGGGCCATATCTTCTGGGGTCCCTCCGGTCTCAATCAAACCATTAAGTCTGGTCTTTTTACTAGAATTTGTGTTCTGCACCCCACTTTTCTCCTGCTCCATCAGGGAGTCTCTTTTGTGTTCCCTGTCAGGGCGGTCATTGGTGGTATCTGGGCACCATCTAGTTCTTCTGGTCCCAGGCTGATGAAGTCTCTGGTTTATGTGGTCCTTTCTGTCTCTTGGGCTAATACTTTCCTTGTGTCTTTGGTGTTCTTCATTTTCCTTTGCGCCAGGTGGGTTGGGATCAATTGATGCATCTTAGATGGCTGCTCGGTAGCTTTTAAGACCCCAGATGCCACTCACCAAAGGAGTTGACAGAATTTGCTGGCAGACTAGACCCGTTATGGGGTGAGAGGAAAGAGTCAAAGATGACTCCAAGTATTTTTTAGCCCAAGCAACTGGAAGATTGCTTTGCCATTAATGGAGATAGGGAAGACTGTGGGAGGAACTGCTTTGTGGGAAGATTAGAAGCTCGTGTTTAAGGAGAAAGAGCAGGAGCTTATGTTTGTATATATTATATTTGAAATGCTTATTAGACATCTGTGGTAGCCAGCCTCCAAGATGGACCCCAGTGATCCTTGCCTCCTGGTATTTACCCCCTCATGGAGTTCCCTCCGACACTAAATTAAGGCTAGAATGTTTGACCAATGGTATACTGCTAAAGTGATGCGTGTGACTTCTGAGGCTAAGTTATAAAAGTCATTGACGCTTCTGCCTTAGTCTCCTGGATTGTTTGCTCTGGGGGAAGCTAGCAGCCATGCAGCAAGGACCCACAAGCAGCCCTGTGGAGAGATTCATATGGAGAGGAACTGAGGTCTCTCACCAACAAACAGCATCACTTTGCCAATCATGCTACTGAGTCACCTTGGACGTAGATCCTCCAACCCCAGTTAAGCTGCCATATGACTGTTGTTGTTGTTAGGTGTCACTGAGTTGATTCTTACTCATAGTGCCCCCATGTGTGACAGAGTAGAAGTTCAAACTGCCAGCCTTTCAGTTAGCAGCAAAGGGCTTAACCGTTTATGTCAACAGGGTTCCATGATGATTGTGGGCCTGGCTAACACCTGACTGCAAATTCATGGGAGTCAAAGAGCCAGAATCGCCCAGGTGAGCCATTCCCAAATTCCTGAACCACGAAACTATGAAAAGTAATAAATGACTATTGTTGTTTAAGCCACTATATTTGGAGTCATTTGTTACAGGGCAATAGGTAACTAATACAACCTCCAGGTATGGAGTAAAACTGAAAAACAAACAAACCAAACCTGTTACTGTCGAGTCGATTCTGACTTATAGTCCCCTATAGGACAGATTAGAACTGCCCCATAGAGTTTCCAAGGAACACCTGACGGATGTGAACTGCCCACCTTTTGGTGAGCAGTGGTAGCACTTAACCACTATACCACCAGGGTTCCAAGTATGGAGTAGGTAGTTGGAATCTAGGAGTTTCAGGGGAAAGGTATGGAAAGTTTGGTAGCCTTCAGCATATAGATGGAATTTAAAGCCCAAAGCCATAAGACTAGATGAGGTAACCAAGGGTGTGAGTGAAGACAAAGAGGGCCAGGAGCTAAGCCCTGGGGCACTCCAGCGTTTAAAGACTGGGGATGGAAGAACAAAAAGCAAAGGAGGAAAAAAAAAAAAAAAAGGAACAACCAGAGGTAGAGGAAAATATCTTGTGAATAGCTCATCCATTTTAACAAACATTTAAATCTCTACCAGGTGTTGATCCCATATTATTATTTATATTGTTGTAGTTTAAGTGAAAGTTTACATTTCAAGTTAGACTTTCAGACAAAAATTTATACAGACATTGTCATGTGACCCTAACTGCTCTCTGTACACTGTGACAGCACACTCCTCCTTTCCACCCTGATTACCCGTGTCCATTCAACCAGCTCCTGACCCTCTCTGCCTTCTCATCTCACCTCCCGACAGAACTGCCTATTCAGTCTCATGTATCTACTTGAGCTAAGAAGCACACTCTTCATGAGTATTATTTTATATCCCATAGTCAAGTCTCTTATTATTGTTATTATCTATTTCTAGAACCTTGTTATGCGTGATTCATCCGCATTCAGTAGATGCTGACTAAATGGGTGAATGAATAAGAACAAAAGTATAGTGTAATTTAGACTCTAGTTGAGGAATATGAGTAAGCACGTGGAATAGCCATGGCATTATGTAATCAAGTAAAAAGTTGCTTATTGGGTACTAAAAGTGCAAGACCATCCCTTTGTCTCTACTCCCTCCTTATTTTAAGGGTGCTATAAGTCAGGGAGGTTAGGTGTGGAAACTATGTATTCTGAAAGTTTGGAAACTTGCAGTTAATTTAGTGTTGTCTGAGGATCTTCACTTAAGTGTAAGAACAGAAACAAAAATAAAACGAACAATCTTTAGTAAAAAGAAAAATAAGGCACTTTTTTCCCTCTCTTCCCCCTTCTCCACTAGCTCCAGCCACAACGGCCTTGTTTCTGTGCCTGTAACTTGCTACCGTTTGTTCCTGCTTTTGCCCTCGCTATCATTCCTCTGATCCCAGATCTTTGCATGACCGGCTCCTTCTTATTTTTCTGGTCTCAGCTCAAATACTACCACCTAAAGAGCCTCTGATCCCCATTGTAAGTAAGCTCCCATTATCTTCAAGTCCCTCCCTATCCCATTACCCTGTATTATTTTCCTCATAGCGCTTATGGCTCTCTGAAATGAACTTCTTTGTTTTTAAAACTTATTATTTGTTCCCTCTCTAGGACAGAAGCTCCTGTCTGTCTTGCTCGCTGCTTTATCACAAGTCTGGAACAGGGCTTGACACATAGTAGGCACTCAGGATATATTTGCTGAATGATAAATGAATGAATCCTCACTTGCACTGATATGGTTTTAAAAATATTTAGTTTACATTTTTTGAATTAGGAGTAAAGTTTTTACTTATGGAAGTATACATTTCTTCATCTGTTTCATTTTCCATTTCTTCTTGTAATTAAAAACACAAAACAAAACTATCTTTTGCTCATTTTCCTATTGAGTGTTTTTTCCTATCAGTTTGAGTGAACTTAAGATACTAACCTTTTACCTGTCGGGTTTGTGGCCAATATTTTTTCCAATGTGTTTGCCTAGTGATTTCATTCATGCTTTTCTTGGGGTAGAAATTCTAAATTTTCAAGCAGTCAAATGTAGTGATATTTTCCACAGTGGCTTGTCTAGTTGCAGGAAGCATCCAGTATCGGTCAAGAGTCGTGCTTTGGGGTTAGTTTACTCAGGAGAATCTGTGACTTTTGGCAAATAGGCCAATTACAGTACTTAGCTACCAAATCTCGAATTACTCAAGAGCAGTTTTCTCATTTGCGAAACTGGGAAAGTGGCACTACGTACGTCACAAAACTGTTGGGAAGATTAAACGAAATTAAGGATGTAAAATGATCCTGGAGTATGCACATGGAAAGCGCTCTAAATAGTCTGGTTAATGGTTTCATTACTTACGTACTGGAGTATTTCCCGGCTCTGATAGTGATTTTCTCAAATATCTTAATTCTCTAATCCTTCTGGAATTTGTTATTGTGCACCAATTTACTTTCATGCTTAAAGTCATTTTTGGACTTTCGGTAAGCGGGTGATCTCCTGAGCAGCCTGAAGTATCAGCCTGCACACAGCAGCACAAACGCAGCAAAGACTACTAGGCCTGCACCCACTAGGCTGCGGCAGGGGTGGGCGGGGCCGCGCGCGCGGCCGTCGAGTGGGCGGGGCGCGCCTTCGCCCTGCCCTCAGTCTGTCGGGTCCCGGGTTCCTGTGAATCCTGGGCGACCTTGGTGACCCTACGGACGCTGCCACCTCGTCTCTGCCATCGCCCGACCTCCACCCCTGGGACCGGGAAGTGAGTGCGGGCCTCCACGCACTGAGCCCCCTGGGGGAGGAAGAAACGCAGACGTGGGGGCGCGGGGCTCGGAGGAGAGTACCGGCCGGGAGAATCTGGGCCCGCAGCCTCCGCGGCTGGGCCCGCCAGGCCCTGGTGCTGGACAGACACCCTGGGCTCGGCGTGGCCGGGGCTGCTCCCGAGCTGTTGCTGGCGAGGTCAGCGGCCTCGCAAGGCCCGGGGCTGGGCCGACGCCTTCCAGAGGAGCCGCGTCTCGGGGCTCAGGACGGGGTCGCCTGTGGTTGCCCGGGCCTGGCGCTCGCGCACCTGGCGGGCGGTGCCCAGGATCCGCCGGCGTCCCGGGGCGGGGAGGGTAGGGCCTACGGGTGGGAGAAGGGTGACATGCCCCGCAATTGCCGCAGTGCCTGTCGGGGAGAGGAACGGGGGTCACCGCGCACACTCTGGGGAAGCGAATGCGTAGAGGAACGGGGCGCGCTTCAGAGCAGCCGAGGGTTCCAGGAGAAGCTGCCAGGTGGGGTGAGAAGAGGACTTCTGATTTCGGAGTATAACAAGGAGGTCGTGAAGAAGGCATATCCTACCGGTACCTATTTCTTCTGTCTGGTGTTTTGAGTTCACTACAAAGGGCGTAGGGGCCCTACTGGCGCAACGGTTAAGTGCTTGGTTAAAAGTTGGTGGTTCAAGCTCACCCACTGGCTCCGAAAGAGAAAGACCTGGCAATCTGCTCCCGTAAAGATTACCAAAAAACCCAAACCCATTGCAACTGAGTCAATTCTCACTCATAGCAACTCTATAGGACAGAGTAAAACTGCCCCCCGAGGGTTTCCAAGGTTGTGATTCTTAGGGAAGCAGACTGCCACATTTTCTCCCATGGAGCAGCTGGTGGATTTGAACCATCAACCTTTTGGTTAGCCACTGCGTGCTTAACCACTGCACTACCAGCTTAGAGAACCCTGTGGGGAAGGTCTACTGTGTCACATGGTGTCATGAATTGAATTGTATCCCCCCAAAAATGTGTGTATCAATTTGGCTGGGCCATGATTCCCAGTATTGGGTGGTTGTCCTCCATTTTGTGATTGTAATTTTATGTTAAAGAGGATTAGGGTGTGATTATAACACCCTTACCTAGGTCACATCCCTGATCCAGTGTAAAGGGAGTTTCACTGGGGTGTGGCCTACACCACCTTTTATCTCTCAAAAGATAAAAAGGAAAGACAAGTCACCAGAGAGGGGGCACCTCACCAAGAAAGCAGTGCCGGGAGCAGAGCGGGTCCTTTGGACCCGGGGTCCCTGTGCAGTGAAGCTTCCAGACCAAGGGAAGACTGATGCATCACAAGGACCTTCCTCCAGAGCTGGCAGAGAAAGCCTTCCTCCGGAGCAGGGGCCCTGAATTCGGACTTCTAGCCTTCTGGACTGTGAGAGAATAAACTTCCCTTTGTTAAAGCCATCCTCTTGTGGTATTTCTGTTATAGCAGCACTAGATGACTGAGACACATAGGGTTGCTGTGAGTTGAAATCAACTTCACAGTATCTAACAACAACACAGTGGGCATGGAGGATGTGCGGTTACATTCATTTTGTGGTGCCAGAACCCCTGGGAAACTGACCATTAACATTGTGCTTAATGATGTCTGCAGTTTTTGTTTATCCTTGGTTATTTTTTCATAGCTGCCTCTTATCACAGATTATCAAATAGAGGAAATGGTGGCTCGAACATAGCAATTATTGATTACTGTGTCCCACAAACACTTTGCTGGACAATTTATATAAGTTAGTTTATTTAATGTTCCCAACTTCAGATTTAAGTAGTATTGTTGTCTGTTTTGTACTGTTAGAGTTTGGTAGCATTAGAGTTGAAATTCAGGTGTGTATAATTTCAGGGCACAGACATGGCTTAATGTAAAGAACATTATTCTTTGGGATAGAACGGATGTCTAGGTTTCAAATTTATGCTTTCAGTTTTCTTAGTTGTATCCTTGGGTGGATTGCTTAATCTTTTAGGGCCTATTTCTGCATTTGTAAAATGGAGATAAAATACCTCCTGTATTGCAGTGTTGTTATGAGGATTGAATAAGATCATGTTGGTGAAACACTTAGCAAAGTGCCTTGCAATAGCGGTAAGCTAGATATGACTACAAGGAGCCCGGGTGGTGCAGTGGTTAAGTGCTTGGCTGCTAAACAAAAGGTCAGTAGCTCAAACCTACCAGCTGCTCCACAGGAGAAAGATGTGGCAGTCCGCTTCCGTAAAGATTACAGTCTTGGAAACCCTATGGGGCAGTTCTTCTAAATCCTATAGGGTCAGTATGTGTCGGAATTGACTTGAGGGCACACAACAACAACAACATATAGTCACATACACCCTGCCATTGTCTTTAATTGGGGTCAGCAAACTCCAGCTCTGAATGCTTCCAGCCAGAGCCAGGCAAAGCCTGTGCAAGTCTGAGCATAGGTGAGGGAAGCAGGAAAAGAAAAAGGAACTGAGAATAGACCACATACTTGGTGACAGTTACAGCGACACCAATAGTTGCCTCAGGCATTAATTTGTGGTACCCAGGGCCGCTTTTTGTAGTTGTGACAACTTAAAAAAGGCAATTCCTTTTGGCTCTCGAATTGGAAAAATGTGCACTGCTCCTGGCTGACAAGTTTCAGAGAGGTGACTCCGAGGGACTGAACCATGTTGAGACAGGGTGGGACTAGGAGCTGAATTTCAGTATCCCACAAACTAAAAGGTACCTGGTGCACACTCATAATGAAGTGTGTAGCTCCCTTTTCAGGATTTCCTTTCTCAGGTCTAGCTCCTGAAGAATGGAGAGAGGATGTTCCAGGATAAGAAAAGAAAGGATTGTTTGATGACTAGACACCTTTCCTAATTTCTATCCATATTTGTGACTACTTATGTACAACCATCTTCATTCCCACATAAACTGAAGGCAGCCTAAGTATTACACCTTAAAAAAATATTTTTTATTTACAGTCCTATCACTACTGTCCTGAATATTGCCTTTGGAACATCTGTTCAGATACCCAGTTTATAATGTACCCTAGCGCCTATGGATTTTTGATATAACTTTATACATTTTTTTATGCACTTTTTCTTTTTAGTACTGTTGCTGGGCTTTTTTTTTTTATTCTGTCATTAAAGTTTTCTTTTCCAAACCTTTCTTTAGTTAGTGATTTATTATGCTAGGAAGTATGCTTGTCAGCAAAACTAAGAAAGTTAGCATTGGATGTGAAAATGATTAAATACATTTTGACCTTCAGAGCTTTACAGTGAACCACTACTGTTGATCAAAACCATGCTCTTTCAGGTGGGTCTTTCAGCAAGGTTCAATGCCTCTTCCATTAGTGGTGCTCAACAAGTTTGAGGAGTCCAAACTTGGGCATGCCTTTAATGTACCCACCGTTAGCTTCACTCTACAGTCTAACTTCCTTCCCACCAGTGTGTTAGCTTCATGTTTTTACTTATTTTATAAAGATTGCTAACTAGGTTAAAATCTTTTAACAATCTTGTTAAAAGATTTGATGGGAAGGAGGTTTAAGTTACCACCTGTAAGTAAAGTGGAGCCCTGGTGGCGTAGTGGTTAAGAGCTCGGTTGCTAACCCAAAGTTCAGCAGTTTAAACCCACCACCCGCTCCTTGAAACCCTGTGGGGCAGTTCTACTCAGTTCTCTGGGGTCGCTGTGAGTCAGAATCTGCTCGACAGCGACAGGTTTGGTTTGGTTTTTGGTTATAAGTAAAGTATCATAGATTTTGTTTAACTACGTCATGTAAGTTTCTGATAGTGGTAGTCAAAAGCAGATATATGTATACATTTTGATAAGATTATAATAACTACATTTAAACTGATTATGTTGGCTTAAATGGATTTGGAGAAATTTTTGGAGAGCATTGGGATTCTTTTGGAGAGGTGTTTATTCTTTTAATACATAAGAGCTTAGTGGTATGCAGTCTTAAAAAAAAATTAAACCATTTCACTCCCACTAGGATAGCTAAAATAACAAAACTAACAAAAGTTGGCAAGGATGTGAGGAAATTGGAACCCTTATCCATTGCTGGTAGGAATGCAAAATTGTACAGCTGTTGTGGAAAACAGTGAGGTGGTTCCTCACAAAACTAAAAATATAACTACCATACGACCCAGCAATTCCACTCCTAGGTATATACCCAAAAGACTTGAAAGCAGAGACTCAAACAGATAATTTTATACCAGTGTTCATTGTGGCACTATTTACAATAGCCAAAAGGTGGAAACAACCTAACTACCCATCAACAGATAAATGGATAAACTGTGGTACATACATACAATGGAATACTATTTAGCTAGTAGGAGAAATGAAGTCTTGATACATGCTACAATATGGATGGAGCTTGAAGACATTATGCTAAGTGAAATAAGTCAATAACAAAAGGGCAAATATTGTATGACCTCACTTGTATAAAAAGACAAGAATATGCAAATGTATAGAGACCAGAGTTTCTTAGTGATTATGAGGGAGGGAGTGGGAAATGGGGTTATTGCTTATGGAGTACCAAGTTTCAGTTTACAGTGATGGAAAAATCACATTGATTAAGGGTAGGGTGGCACAGCTGATTGATGTTATTGCTGTCCATAAGTTGAATACCTATAAAAAGTTGAACTGGCAAAAGTTGTGTGATAGATAGACAAAAAAATAGAGTAGCTGTTGAGGCTGCTTATGTACAACCAAAAACCTGATGGGATTTGGTTCCTTGGTTTGGAGGTTTAGGGTCATGGTTTCATGGGACATCCCAGTGAATTGGCCTGATAACTTGTTCAGTACTTCTGTTCTATTTCCTAGTTTGTTGCATAGTGCCTGGGGTCTTAAAGGCTTGCAGACGACCATCTAAGGCACAGCAATTGGTCTCTATTCACCTGGAGCAACAGAGGAATAAGGAGAGTCAGAAATGGGAGGAGAAAATGGAATGTGTGGCTAATTACTTCCATGAATAGCTGCCTCCTTTACCGTGAGACCAGAAGAACTGGATGGTGCCTAGTTACCATTACTGTACATTTTGATCAACGATTCTATAGAAGAATCCTTATCAAAAGGGGGAAAATGCAGAACAGAATTTCAAATTTTCATGGAATCTAGACTTTCTGGAGCCATGGAGGCTGGATGAACCCCTGAAATTATTGCCCTGAGATAATCTTTAAACCTTAAGAAATAACCCCTGAAGTCTTCTTAAAACCAAACAATAGTTAACTAGTAAAAAATGTCTGCGTTGAGCATTATGTTCTTTTAAGATCTATCTATATGGGATCAAATTGACAATGGCAACTTGAAAGATTAGATAGGAAACTTGGCGGCAGTGAGTTTATGTTAAAGAGGGAGGAACAACTCAGAAAAGGAGAGTGAGAATGGTTATACAACTTGAAGAATGTAATCAATGTCACTGAATTGTACATGCAGAAACTTGAATTGGTATATGTTTTTGCTGTGTATATTCTCAACAGCAACAACAGAAAAATAAATTGTTAAAAAAAAGTAAGTCAATGTTATGGTCAGATTTACCAATTTAAATTAGATGGATAGCATATTGATACAGTTCCTCCATGAAAAATTA